TGCTGTCTTTTCACCTCTTCAGAGCCTCACACCAAAATGTCAAACATTTTAATGACTAACTTTTCATGTATCCAAAGACTTTGAAGATAATCTTAAAGGGACATATAATTTATTCATTTATTTTTAATTTTTTTTATTGACACAGGGTCTTGGTTTGTACCTTACACTGTCCTGGAGCTCACAATCCTACCTCTACCTTTTGACTGCTGAGATTACAGATATGTGCCACCATGCCTCAATCATGACACTTCTTGCATGGTTCCTAGAGTAGGAACTTCATAGTTGCAGAAAGGAGGATGTTCCTTTTCCCCTTTTACCAGGAGATGAAAGGAGAAGAAAGAGACGTTATCACTTAGCTGGTAAAGAGGTTTGATTTAGGAAGATGACAAAGTTCTGGACAGCTGGTGACAGATGTCATAATATGAAGTTACTAAAATGCCACCACCGATACACTTAAAATGATTAAAGATGCACATTTTATGTCATACGTGTTTTGCTTCACTTAAACACATGTGTCATTCAATTGCTCTGAGACTTGTCACTGAAATCTGATAGGGAATGTCTCTGGAGACATTTTGTTTCTCTGACAGTAACATTTCACAATTTCAAAAGCTATTTAGAAGGTTGGAGAGATGGCTCAGTGGTAAAGAGTACTTGTTGCTCTTAGAGGACCCAGGTTCAGTTCTTAGCACTCACGTAATAGGTCACAACCACCTGTAATTCCAGATCCAGAGGATCCGATGACCTCTTCTGGTCTCCTTGGGCACCAGGCATGTATGTGGTATACACACAAAATATTTAGACAAAACAGTCATACACATAAAATAAAAATTAACTTTAAAAATCTAGACCCCCAGGTAAGATAACAGACTAGAAGCCACCTCTATGTGATCTGGTGAGGAAGTGTCAGGATAAGACAGACAGACCCTATTCCAAAACAAGACAGGACAGCTGAAAAGCACAGAGAAACAGACTGCTGATTCAGTCAGAAAACGTACACCAAACCAGCACAGACCCAGCAGCACAGCTCCCTGGCAAAAGGCAAACGAGGCCATCTTGGCAGTTTAACCTACAGGACAAGCCCACGGCTCGGACAGGCCTCAAATCTGGGTGAAAGTTTTGCTGAGACAGTGACTTCTCTGGTAGGCTGGTCACCAGTGAACTCCCATCTTGACACGGATACCTATTGCCTATAATTAAAATATGCTGGGAGCCTGAGAACAAGAAACAATCACAAGTCAGGGAGCCTGAATTCATTCTGCTGTGAGACAGCAGCTGGAAGGATGTGTAGAGAACAAGAGAAAATCATGCCCACAAGCCAAAACATGCAGACATCCATCAGCTGGTTCAGCCCCAAAAGTGAGAGATACACAGGGAGAGATAGCCCCACCTTTGACAGCCTCATTAACTGAGAGTAACTCTGGACTTTGATAACCTGAGTCTGAGGTCAGAAGGTGGATGAACTTGGAGAGATAAGATTCAGGGCTGTAGAGTCCCAGAACTCTGAAGCTCCAGTAAACTTAATGCACAGTCACATATCTCCAGCAGGATTAATATTTACAAGCTTACAAAGCACTGAAGATAGGTCATCGGCCTATACAAACCTCACTGCTGTAGTCTCTTCCTCCCTCTACTTCGAGACAGCCCCCAGCTAGAATACTAGCCACTGTAAGGGATAAGAACAGGGGAGTACTGGAAAGGTGGGGAAATCTGCACAGCCACAGTCAGCAAAACTAAGAATGGGGAGAAGCGGCCCCTGGAACACAAAGGAGGGGAACTAATTAAGACAGCACTAGACAGCACAAGTAGACACCGGACCCTTGTCCGACCTTGTCCAACACAAACACAACACCAGCATAAACCATAAGACAGACAAGCGTTTCCAAGTCCAATCAACACTCCGTCCCCCATATGTAATTTATAGTCTCCAATTCTCAACAACCTAGAAAGCCAGTCCAAAGTTCCATCTCGTTTTTCCTTCCTTCCCTGCTCCGTCTTTCTTTCCTTCCCTTTCTTTCTTTCCTTCTTTTTCTTTCTTTCTTTCTTTCTTTCTTTCTTTCATCTTTCTTTCCTTCCCTTTCTTTCTTTCCTTCTTTCTTTCTTTCTTTCTTTCTTTCTACTATTCTTTAGCTATTTTATTTTACAGGATCTAAAAAATGTTTCCATCTTTTATTTTACTTAATATACTCATCTAATTTTTTTAAGTAGGGCAATCTTTTTATCTTTTTTTGCCCCATGTTTCTCCCTTTTTCTTTTTATTACACATTTAGTACTATTTTGACTTTATCTTATTGGTTACTTAAAATTTTTAAAGGTCTTTAATGTTTTCACTTTTTGTTCCTCTTCTTACATTTATCTAATTTTTGCAACAAAGCTTTTCATTATTAGGAAATCTTTTTTTCTGATTTTCTCTTCCATTTTATTATTTTTTTTCACATTTCTTCTCCACCTCTTACCTACTTTTCCTTTTTCAATCTGACTTTGCTTCTCCTTTTACCTCATCATTTACTATCTCCACACTTAGTCTAAATAATTTTTAACTCCATAGCCCACTACATAGTTTGCCAGTTTCTGTTTTATGGTCACCAATGATGT